AAGACAGACGTCCCAGCTGAAGCAAAAAGAACAAATTCACCCTTCCTCTATCTTTTGGTCCTATTTTGTCCCTCAGTGGATTGGATGATGCCCACCTCGTTGGTCTTTATTCAGTCTACTGATTCAAATGCTAATCTCTTCCAGAAACACCCTCACAGGCACACCCAGAAATAATGTGTTAACAACTATCTGGGCATGCCTTGACCAATCTAGCTAATACATAAAACTGTCATGGCAAACAAAGACAAATGTCACTACAAAGCTGTTTGCCAAATCTTGTACACAGTGATCTTCAAAGTGTGGAACACCAGCCATGAGTATTTCCTGGGAGCAACTTAGAAATGTAAAATCTTGGTCCTACGCCAGATATACTAAATCAGAAATGCTAGGGTGGGGCCCAGCAAACTGTTCAATAAGCCTTCCGGGAGATTCCTTCCTTTCTTCCTTTTTATTTTTTCATAGCTCAATTGAGCTATTGTAATAGAAGACCAATAATAGGGATCCTTGGCATTTCTGAAGGAGAACAGTAATTTCTGAAGAAGGAGAATAAGAGGAATTAAATATACATTATTTTCAAAAATAGGACTTTCTTGAAATAAGGATGACTTGAATCTACAGATCAAAAGGACATATACATCCCAAGAAAAATTGATATAGACTATTCAACATCATCAACATATAGCCTAATGAAGTTATGCAACACCAAAGATAAAGAAAATCTCACATGGATGGCCATGTAGTTAATAAACCACGTGCAGAGAGAAAAATCAAGTTTCTTTGAGCTTCATCTCAATGCCAAAAGACAGCAGACCAACGTTTAAAAAGGTGTGAAGGAAAGAAAACATGATTCAAGGATTGTGTACATGCCACGTTACCTTCAAGCACAAAGGCAACAGACAAGCATTCTCAGACATGTGAAACCATAGGGACCAAAGCACCCAGGAAATCATCTTGGAAAAACAACTTATGAATGAAACCTATCCAACCAAGGGATGAGTCAAAATAAATTCTAGAATAGAAAACCTAAGTGTATGGATTTCCTAGGGCCAGCACAAGAAAGTACCACAAGCTGGATGGCTTAGAACAATGGAAATCATTGTGTCACAGTCCTAGAGTCTAGAAGTCTGAAATCAAGGTGTCAGTAGGGCCATGTTCCCTCCGAAAGAGCTAGAGACAGATCCTTCCAAGCCTTTTCCAGCATTTAAAGCCCCACATGTTCATTGGCCAGTGGCAGCATAATTCTAATTTTCATAGTGATTTCCCTATGTCTCTTCATACAATTTTTTCTCTGTGCATGTCCGATCTCCCCTTTGTAAGGACACCAGTAGTCTTGGATTAAGGCCCACTCTAATGACCTCATTTTAACTTGATTACTTCGATAAACACTCTATTTCCAAATAAGGTCACATTCTGAGGAACTAGGAATTATGACTCCAACATACATTTTTGGGGGGAGGATACAATTGAACCTGTAACATTGGGGTAACACAAAGGGGTGAGCACTGAGTCCATTAAATATAGAGCTAAAACTAAATAGCAGTAAGAAGTATGGTTAGAGAACAAAATGAAGGGAGGTAAACATGGATGATAGAACATAATAAAAATCAAGAGACAGAGTGGGGGAATGGGATAAAGTATAAGTGTAATTCCTTATCGTTAGCAGGAAGTCAAGAGATGCCACTTAAAACTGACACTTGTTTTGTTTCTTAAGCTTAAATTTTATTTAAAAATTTGTGTGTATCGTTGACATACCAACTTGTTTTTTTTTTTTAAAGATTTTATTTATTCGAGAAAGAGAGAATGAGAGACAGAGAGCACGAGAGGGAGGAGGGTCAGAGGGAGAAGCAGACTCCCTGCCGAGCAGGGAGCCCGATGTGGGACTCGATCCCGGGACTCCAGGATCATGACCTGAGCCGAAGGCAGTCGCTTAACCAACTGAGCCACCCAGGCGCCCGAAACTTGGTTTTTTAAAAAAGAGAATAGCAAATTCAATCTCTTAATGTTTTTCTTTCTTTTCTCTTAATTCTAAAAGAACTCATCTTTTGAAAACTTACGAAGCAACAACCAATTTAGTCATTTCTAAGTTTGTCTTCAGTTTTTCTGACAATAAATTCAACTAAATATTATTTCATTTAGAATAGTCTGCAGAGTGAGGTCCTATCTCACAAAATTTTATCATTGTTCTATCTCTCCACGTACCTATAGAATCTTTAAGGATGTTTTATAGATGTTGGGAATGGTTGTCTCTGAGCAGAATTTATAGTGAGGTTTTTTTTTTTAAGATTTTATTTATTTGACAGAGTGAGAAAGCACAAGCAGGGGGAGGGGCAGGCAGCGGGAGAAGCAGACTCCCCCTGAGCAGGGAGCCCAATGTGGGGCTTGATCCCAGGACCCTGGGATCACGACCAGAGCCGAAGGCAGTTGCCTAACCAACTGAGCCACCCAGGAGTCCCTATAGTGAGTTTTTTTTAACTTTCTTTGTTGTACTTTTCTGTATTACTTGAATTTTTATGATAGACGTTATTTGGAACAAAAACAGTAAAATTGTTTCACATTTTTCTCCTAAAAGCTGTCTTTGCAGGCATTGGGGGTGGGACTCAACTTCAGCTTCTAGGAGGCAGTGGGTCTGGGAGGCAAAAGGTGGGGTCTGAGGATGCTGTGACAGCCAACACAAGGTGCCTGGGCTGTTAAGGGGCCCTCCCACAGCTGGGGGTCCTGTTTTGCAGTTGCTGTGGCAGAAAACTCCCCAACTCCAATGCCACCACATATTTCTATTACAAAGCTCCAGCTGCCTGCGTGCTGTATCCACAGAAACCTCCAGCGTTTCCATTATAATACAGGAAGAGAAGTAATAAAAGATAAATTTCCTGCCAAGCATTTGGGGGCAACCAGATATAAGAGGAGGAACAATAAAATATGAATATGATGACGACCGTTATGTGCCCAGATGCCTTTCCTGTTGAAAAAGTCCAGCTTACAGGATGGAGTGGGGAACTTGAGCACACAGCTGTGAGCTCAAGACAGTACCCAGGCAACTCTGATGCTTGGGGGTCGAGAAGGATGGAGCCAACCTCCAGGGTGGTTTCTGGGAGCACTGGCTTCTTCGATGTCACAGTAAAGCAAATGTTGGACTTTCTCAAAACTTAGAAGGCAGCTGGGGCTTTGTAATACTGAGCACATCACCAAAGAGTCATGGGCTTTTGGCCTGACTTCCTGAAAATTGGTGTTGGCCCTCACATTTGAGCTTTCTAGCCTTGAAAATGTGACAGGTGTCCCACCGGGAGATACCAGCTCAGCAGCAGGGGTGCAGGGACAAGCAGGAGGGCAGTGGTAGGATGTCTGGAGCATGAAGGGGGTCCCAGCCCAGGCAAGCACTCCTTGTGGGGCCTGAGACCCCGAGATGGTCATCTAAACCCAAATGCTGGCCTAAGGCAGTGTGGCATGTAGGACTTGCATACCGGACTTTGCCAAAAGGCTGAAGACCACATGCAGCCAGTGTCTCGAAGGGCCAGAATCCCCAGACAGGCTGTCCCAGTAACACAGCTGGAGAGGCAGGTAGAGGTCTTCAGTGAATGCTGAGCACTGAGAAACACACGGGCAGGTGTGTTTCTTGGAAAATGTTGTCTATACTCATTTTTTTTTTTAAATTAGAAAGATTATTAACAGACAGAAAACTACTTGTTAAAACATCCAGGAAATCAATATATTGCAAATAACAATACTATAAGTCTTAGGTTCTTTGTTGTTCTGAATCTAGGTCCTAGAGTTGTCGGTTGCAATCTGTCCACCTCCTCTTTCCTCCCTACATACATCTAAGGCTGGTGTTAATTATTCAGAGAGGTTGAGTGTCTCCGAGCTTATATCCATTTAGACAAGGCAGCAGAGACCAGCTTATCTCCTGCCACCACGACCTGCATCTCCTCCCACACCCTTCACCCTATAGCTCTTGGGAGTCAGGATCAGCTTCTCCTGTGTGTCCCAGTGCCTGGCAGGGCTCTTTCTTCTCTGATCATTGTCGTTTGGGCAGATGGCTTCCGTTCTACTTACTTCTGCTCACTGAGGTGCATTTTCTCCACATCAAAGTTTACATCTCTAGAGAGCTACCTCGGTTTATTAAAAATATAATTTTAGTCATTCACTGAAAGTTGATTATGAACAAGCAGCAAAATGAATCTGCTTTCGCCACAGCCTTCCCACGGCCTTCTAGAACCACTGCCCACAGTGGGGGCTGATGTCTCCGCCTTATCTGATGTCAGATCTTGGGTGACTATGGTTAGCCATCTTCTTGTGAACCACTCTTTCAGTTCATCCCCTCCTCAGCTTGCTTGATCAGGCTTCTGCCCCCTCCCCTCCACAGACAAGGCTCTTTCCTAGACCGCCAGTGAGTCCCTACTCACGCCAAACAGGAGTGACGTGTTTCACCTCCCATTTGCCGAATCCCTCCGCTCATATGTGAAACTACTCCACATTTTCTCCATTTTAAACCCCCATTCCCCTGATTCCTCGCACATTTTCCTCTCCCAGTTCTTTCTGCCAGCCACCCACTAGCTCCTCTCACTCGTCAATGGGCATCTCTTCCTTCTCCCCCTGTAAGGGGTCAGGGTTCTGTATTCAGTGAGCAAGCTCTTCTATCCTCAGGTTTTAACTACCAGAGGTCTCCAAACCTAGCTCTCTCCAGGTTTCCATTCCCATGTATCCAACTCTTATAGGAGGTCTTAATTTGGCCCTAAATTAATGCACGATCATGCCCCAAACTCTGTCTTCCTAGGTTACACTCCCTGCATTATATTTCTGCAGCCCAGAGGAACATGCTCATAAATGGAAGTGAGAACACTTCTTGGGTCGCCAAAGCAGAAGTCACTCTGAGAGCTTCAATTATTGCCCTTGGTTTGATCAGAAAGCATGACTTCAAGGGCTTTAGCAGATACTGACGTCAGAGAGGAAGTTTGATTGTTCTTCCTCTTGTGTCTGTGTCGCCTTCGAGTTCTTTATCTCCCCAGGTAGAAAACGTGGAGGAATAACTATGCATCTCCCTCGCACTGGTAATGTCAACGTGGAGATGGGTGTATATGAACACAAGGATGGAGGAGCTCAAGTGGATGAAGAATCAATGAAGTAGGATTTCCCCCAAGTGCTCCAATGTGTGCTGAGAATACAACTCAAGCCAACTCAACTTGCTGTGAACGCTGGAGCTTTAATCTTTCAAGAACACACTTCCTTCCTGTATTTCTAGTAATTACTGTTTCTGGCTTTTCTGGAAATCCCTCCAGTCATCTTGACTCTCTCCTCCAAAAGAACTGAGTCATAAAAATAGAATCATGAGAAAAGTTAATTTGACCCCTTTGCTCCCTGAAATGTGCTGGGTGAAAAGAGCCTGGGGGAATGGGCTGAGAGTTGGGGGAAGTTCTTCTTCAACTGGTTCTTCCATCTCAAAGAAAAATAAACTAAAGGAAAGAATAAATGTTTTAAGTTAGTCATCCACAGGAAAGAGATTTTGTGGGGAAAATTCACATTTGGACTATTCTAGTATTTATAGACAGCGTCTTGAACCTGAGATCCATAAATGGGTTTTATCAAAATATATGATCCTCCAGAAACTGTTTTTGTGTCTGCTTATGTTTTTCTAAGGAGAGGATCCATAGCTTTTATCAGATTCTCAAAAGGGTCCGTGACACTCCAAAAGGTGAAAACTACTCACTTAGAAGTTAACTTAGTTTATCTACTGTTATACAAACAAATTACCCCAAAACTTAACTGTGTGATACAGCTACCATTAGCTCACAGGTTGAATGGGGCAGGAATTGAGGAGTGGCTTAGCTGAGTGGCTC